GCCATACGCTGAACCTTTCATGATAGTCCCTGTCGAAAGACATGATCGTGTTCTTCAAGGAGTTTCGTCAGTTCTACTCAATTCCGCAACGACGCAGAGTACTCAAGCTTTTCAAAATACCAATTTTCTACCGAACCTACACTCATCAGGACGTGGATTGAAAAAAGTGAGAGAAGGGGAAGATGAAATCATTCCAGATAGTGAAGAAGAACGGACTCGGTGAGTTCACCTTTCAAGAGTTGTTATGCCTGGACTATATATTTACATTCATGTAAAATACAAGCCAGTATACTGGCAACAACAGAAAATACACGATTATAGATCCGAATATCATCGAAATATCCTCGGAGGAGGAGGACGTGTAAGTTTGCTGGGTTGAGCTCGAAGTCTATTTTCATTCTCTTTGGCTAAGGCAAGCTGTCAGCGACTCACTATCGAATTCCAAGGATCCTTTTTTAGCAAAGGTCCCTGGTGCTTGGCCGACAAACAAAACGGACTTGAACGAAGCTAAATCTAATCCCAAGGAATTGAGGTATGTGAATTGGTGAGACTGATCAATGCTTTTCCGACATTCTTGATAGTCGAATCTGGTCACCCCCATCCCCTGCTACGCCATTGAAACCAAAAAGATACAACCGTGGACGCCTTATCATTGAGAGCTCAAGTTCAGACTCCGGTAGCGAGAGTGAGGGCATCATCAAAATGATAGGCTGTTTTCCCGAGCAATCTAGTGTTTACAAAGATCCCAAAGCCTCTAAGGAGCTTGTATCTCCATCAGAAAACCAGGACGTCCAGGTACCCCTCGTAGCAGAACTCGATGATATCTGGGATAGCGGCGGCGCAATACTAACACTGTATGAAAACTCCTTGATTGTCTGTTAACGATTACTGAATGAATACAGAAATGAGCCAAAAATAGCTAGGAAGCCGATACGTCACAAATCTCCAAGGCTGAAAAACATCACCATAAACACACCCTTCCTGGTTGGCTCCCCCACCCCGAATGAGGAAACTAGGGTGACACCTGATGATACGCCATCACGTTCTCGACTGGCTGAGGGCGTCCCAACTACTCCTAAACCTAACGTCTCTCCAAGGAAGGCCAGACAACCACCTTGCTCCAGCAAGAAAGCAAAAGCTGCGGCTGAACAGGCAGAGCGAGAGGCCTACGCCCAGAAGCTGTTCACAGAACTTAACTACGTTGTCTTCAAAAATGCCTTACCAAAGGAAACCAAACTTAACTGGAATAAAAGGTTATTGACAACTGCCGGAAGAGCGAAATGGCACCGGTCGGCCCCAGGTTCCTGACTCTCAAATTCTTAGCTCACCATCACAATAGATCGAGAGATGGCACCCAAATAACAGAAATAGAACTGGCGGAGAAGATACTGGATTGTGAGGGTAAGGATTTCCTAGCCCAAGAGGCAAGCATTTATAGGTTGAATAGAGCGCATCCGGAATACACTTTCTCATGAAATGTGTCATCTGGCGTCATGGTTAATCGATGATAACCCTAAAGAGGTTCATGGTCGGTTGTGGAAGGCATGGTGAGTGACCTTGCCTTGCTTTTTTTTCTATTCTGGAGACTGTTTTTTTACGTTAGGGCAAACCGGGTAATGCGTAAGAGACCTGAAATTGAGATTACGGTGAGAATATTACATGCCCTTATCCATTCTTTATGATGAGTAACTAGTATCACACTAGACCAGGCATAACTATGAGATTTCTTATCCATTTGAGTGGAGTGAGTTTTTCTCCTTGTAAGATGCTTACAATACTCATCTCCTTAGAATGCGAGAAGTGTGCGAAAATGTAAGCAACATAAAACTCACTTCCTAATTTATACTAATAGGTGTATCTAAGCTATGGCCGTTTCAGCAATTCCATTCGAACAGAGGAGTGTGGTGTGCTCCGCCCTCTTTCTTACCTTTCTATTCAGACTGACGGGTTTCAATCAGTATGCGGGTCATGTAAAGTGGGAAAGCTTCTTCCGCTCTTCCTCGCCCCTTCAAGAGTTCCGAAAACGCCGAAAATGAGTCGGATGGCAGCGATGAAGCCTCAGGGCAAGTCCTGCCCTCGATATTGTATTCACAATCTAAAAATTATCTCTGTTTTTTAGATTCGCCACACTCGACACCGCAGTCTCCGTATATATCACATCGTGATATCGAGAAAGACGGGGTTATTCTTTCATCCCGCGGACCCGTGGAAGTCTATGTTATTCACGATTCGGACTCCGAGTCAGACCCTGATATCCAAGATCTTTCAAAGGCAATGGGGTCTGTGACATTTGTCACCCGGGATGCATGAATGTCTAACGAATATCTTTCATGGAGCGCCAACCTATTATATATACCTTATTTCTAATTTTTTGGATGTTATTCTGGCTTCGGAGTGATGCTCAAAGGAAGGTGTTCCAAGCAATTACATACAGCAGTTGTAGGTTAGAATAATATCTACGTGATTGTAAAACAGTTAGATGGGTGAGTTGTTGATACAAAGGTATAATTTGATAAAATTAAAGTGTAAATACTTAATATGCACTGGAGTTGAGGAAAGGACGGCCAGAAACATTATTTATGGTCTAAACCTTCTAACGACAACTGGGAGTTGCGTACCCAGCTCCCATTTATCAACAACGTAAGGCCTTGTCAATATTGCGTTGTATTTACTGATTTTGATGCCTTCTTTAGGCACAAAGACGAACCGAGACACCATCATTCCAAGGAAGATCTTCATCTCAGTGATGGTAAACTTGTATCCTAGGCAAGAATGAGGACCGAATCCAAACGTCATCATGTTTCCGAGCCCAGGGTGCGCAGGGGGGCGAGCACTTGAGGGGAGACATGCCCAACGGTCGGGGCTAAGCAGGTCATCAGAATGAGAATCTGAAAGGGATGGACTAAACAAGACCTACTTGAATTCCTGTGCGTCGTTTCCCCATATGTCTTCTGCAAGGTTCAGACCCTCGATTGGGATATGGATATAGCTCCCTTTGCGAATAGAGATGTACCCATCCTTTTCGACAGTCGTACCATCCTGGAGAATGACAGGACTAGAGACGGGGATTTGATCGTCACGAACTGCAACACGGATAGTACTATGAACAGGAGGGCAGATCCGGAGAGTCTCTCGAACAACAGCATCCAGATATGGGAGTTTTTCTAAGGCCTCCCATGATTCAAAAGACGGCTGTTCACCAGATGGGTAGGAGGGGGGTGGAGACAAGCGCAATTCAGTATCAAAATGCTTGGAAAGTGCAGGCTCGTGTGATACATGCGAAGAGGTGGAAGTCGATGAAAGGATTTCGTCGCGAAGACGAGTTTGGATGGCAGGGTTTTGTGAAAGAAAATGGAGACACCATGCAAGTGCGAGAGATACCGAGTCTGAGCCGGCAAGAAGGAAAGTGGAACATTGGTTTAGGAGTTCTTCATCTGATAAACGTTTAGCGGGATCAGTCGAGAGATTGGCTTTGACTTGAAAATTGTCAACTTCAGTGACATATTTTGCATTGAAAACTTACTGAGGAGACTCAGGATATCCTTTTCTTGAATTACTTTCTCGTTATCTTGTTCGCTTATGACCATCGCTTTCTTTTGCGCGATTAATTTCTTTCCAGCTTTGTCGACGACTCGGAGACTCGCATCCATGATTTTTGTACGCTCATCCGGCTGAGTATCACTGTAAATAGCTACGTATTCCAAGTATGGAGAGAGCGACTTACCCATATTTTGCGGATGATTGGGAAATACAATTCAATGACAGTTCGAAGGGGAGCTCCTTTATCGGCCATATCGAACAGACGACGGTACGCAAGATAGACATCTTCAGTTTCGTCTTCTAAGGAATTAAAGTGGTAATCAAAACCAGTGAGACCGATGACATCGAAGGATGCGCGTGATATCCAGTGAGCAACATCAAGGGTCACCCCTTTGAATTTTTCCACTGCGGTGGCGAAAGGGACGTATGCAGGCGGAGGATCTGTAGGGTTTGTGACGGTGCTGAATGGTTTATCAATGAGATCGTCCCATCTTTCGCATAACTCCTCAGCCTTCTGGAAAAATATGGGTGTCAAAGCTTTTATTGATTGGCCAGTAAACGCGGGGCCAATTAATCGACGCTATGTAATTCATCATGTAAATTGTTGATCAAGGGAACCGCAGCACTTCTCGAACATACCTGTTGTTTGTGTTCTGCACCTTCCATTGAGAAAATTCCTGGATAAAGGATGGTATTAATGTACCATCTTAACCAACGAGTACAGATACAAACCACGTCCAATAAGTCGCGCCAAGACAGACCTCGTCTGCCATGGTTTCTCATATACTGGCGAGGTGAGGATATGGGATATCACTCTGAAGTCGAACGACATCATACGATAATCATGCTGTATAATTGGTTTCAATTACTCGATTGTAAAGGACGAGAACACGGGGGGAAGCGTACTTTGCCAAAACCATGGAACCTGAAGGTCTTTCCAAACTTTTGCTTCCAGCTTTCATGTGTGGTAGGGCTTTTTTGGGGACTGCAGAGTAAGCGTCAGGTTTTGGATTATGTATAGTGTTGGCTGTGATACACACTCCATGACTTCACTGAAATGGTTCTGGAGCGCTGCCCCCTCAGGCCCTGGGAGATTCTGCAACGGATCGAATAGAGGCGCGACAAGCAATAGATTGAACAGCCAAAGGATCCCTCTTGCTAGCAAAAGCAAGAGGGAAATGAGAGACACCTTGATCATGACCCCGAACACGGTGACGAGGATGGGTGGAGGTGCCATGGTTGGTTAAATTGGATTCGAATGGGGCAGAAAGAGGGATCTGGAACCCATTTTCGTGATTTTGCGCGCCTTATAGATGCTCTCGTGAAGGGACACCAAAATTGAGTCCGGACTGTCCCAGACAGGAATTCCCTTTCATCCAAATAAGGTTAGCCGTGTAATTTTGATCGGCCAAGAATACTACTTCCCCAAGATCGACTCCACCCACTCAATATCACCTAACGCCCGCCTAGCTCAATCGGATAGAGCGTCAGACTCTTACGAGCGCGGGTGTTGTAGTATCACCTTGTGATCTGAAGGCTGCGAGTTCGACCCTCGCGGTGGGCTATGTATTTTATTACTCCTCTCCAATACCACTCTATTTTTTTCTCTGTTTGTATGATATTTTATTTCCAAAAAAAGAGCTGCTATACATATATGGATATGCTTTGTGTTGAGTAGACTGTTGGTGGTATTGTAACTTTGACCCATATCTAAGATAGTCGGAGATTAAACCTTAAAAGATCAATTGTATAGTTTACATAAGCATACTGTCCTCGCCACTATGGATCAGTATCCCGCCAACAAATCGTTGTAGCAAGGAAAGCTATTTGGGCAACGTGAGTGCCGATCTTCGACTATCATTTCACGGTACTCATCCATGCATTCATTAGGCTTACCAAAATTTATATTCTAAAATGACACACGACGCTGTATGGTTCTCGCGCCCTAGGAAGTTCGGTAAGGGAAGCCGTCAATGGTGAGTTCTTGTTCTCTGAGCGCATCCTTCCCCTTCCCTGGCCCCCAGTTTGGACGTATTTTCGATCTCTTACTGATCACACTATCTGGAATGGTAATACTTAGCCGGCTATGTGCCCACCAGGCCGGTCTTGTTCGCAAGTATGGACTTGACCTGTGTCGCCAATGCTTCCGCGAAAAATCGGCAGCGATTGGATTCACCAAGGTCCGTGAGATAAATTCGAAACCCTGTGCAGATCGTTTACCACCGATTATCCAGAACCGATGAAATACATGTTACTTCGAATTGATACATTTCCTCTTATCTTCCATCATTCCCTTTCCTAGAAAATCACTTGTATGGAATAATATCATAAATGCCAACAAGATATATTTTGGGAACATTCCTAGATGGTTCATCTGCAAAGGAGCTGAGTGTGGGCACAAGAGTCATGCAGTAATCTGGTCAGCAAACGCGCGCAAAAAAAAAAACACCAGGAATCCACATTTCTAATTAGACTTTATACAGCTTGGGTTTGAATAACTACAGAATGACAGACAAATAGTGCTGCGGCGAGGATACTATTAGACAGACAACCGAGTTAGGGGTAAATGAAGAATAACCTGTACAAATGGGTTGGGCAAATAAGAAATGTTATGACAGGAAAGCATAAAAAGCAAATGGGGTACGAATATGCCGGTTGCAAAATACAATGCGGGAGAGGGTGAGTTATGATAGGTGGGCCAAGGTTGGGAGGTAATACGAGGTGACGAGCGTGACAAACCAATTCAAAAAATAATCGAGTAGAGTAGATTTTTGAGGTATCGGATGTGGGGAACACATCGAAGAAAGTGATTAAAGTGAATGTAGGTCCGTGGTCGAAAAGAGTGGCGAGAGCACATATCCAGGAAAGATAAAATTTTCATGAAGAACAGTTACATCCCGTAACCGCCGAAAGTTGACCTTTGGTAGGGATCACCGTGGGAGCCAGGGAGTCCAGCACCTCCGAAGGGGCTTACATTGGCGAAAGAGGCGCCAGAGAACCCACCTCCGTGGGAGTGGGAGGGCGAAATACCTTGATTGTGACTCGAATTACCCTGCAAGACATACCCGTCAATTGACTGAGGTAAAGTATGCAATTGGGATGCGAGATGAACTTGGTTGTAAGATGCCTGCGGATAAAGCCCATTCTGTCCACTATAAACTTCTGCCAATGGATTGGAGTGGTGCTGGTGTTGGGGTACATGGCGACCACCGCTAACATGAGTGTTCATGCCTTGACTACCGAGAGCAACATTAACCAATGCCGGTGGGTTATGATAACCGCCAGGTCCTCCAAAGTGGTCCATTTGCTCACGCTGCAGCTTGTTTTGGATACGCTTGCCATACGGAGTGTTGCGAATGAGAGGTAGAACCGGGCGGATGCCTTCAACGAGCAGGGCGCGCTGAGCCGGTTCTGCATAATCCAACGCAGTCTGGATTATGTTTTGATCAGGGCTGAAACAAGAATTTCAATAAAGAGCGCACCTGAACGCAATAATTGCCATAGGAGTCGCGCAACAATTTTTCTAGACGTGTCCGATTCAGTAATTCTTCGATGAGCATCTTACGAGTGCTGTGTTCTGCAACACGTACACACTACACAGACTATCAGTATGTTTGAATTGAATAGATCTGACTAGGTAATCAACCTTCTCTATAACGTTCGAGCTGAACTTTTGGACGGAGAGTGCGCAAACATTCCCAGCGAACTGGCGAATAACGGCGTCGCTGAAACGATTGTCGTTCAAGTCAAGTATATATTGTACGACCTATATGTAGTCAGAATGTGTTTGGTTAATAAAACGAATGAAGAATAAATACTCACATAGTTTCCATAAGGATCCTGGACCAAGGTAAGGGCGTTGTATGTGATCTCATTTACCAGTTGGATACGTTGATGATCAGATGCATGATCAATGCACCTCTGTAAGACACAGCAGCCATGACGATGAGTAGCAACCTCGACACAATTAGCTGCAACAGCATTGTAGATAAACTTGTCGACAAGTTGATTAGATATTCCAGTGCCAATTATAAACGTATGACCTACTTGATTATCTTCCGGAGCTAGCTTGTTCAAGCATTTTTGAATAACATGATTCCCGTTCAAGTCTTTGATGAGCACAACAACGTGAAGACTGAGAGCGACAATGATAGAATGAATCTGAGCATTGTATCTGAGATCAGCCTGATTTCATCCGGTAAGTGGAATGGGCGATATAAACAAGGAAATGATACTCGCCTGCCTGCGAGTTGAAAGGAAGTCAATCATTTTCTGAACGGCACGCGTCCCGTGCATATTTAACGAAATGTTGACGAGATCCTGAGCAACAGATTCGCATATGACATTACGCTGCTCATCCGTAGAGTATTCCAAGAGCTTTTGACAAAGATAGTTCCCGAATGGATCTGTAAATCATGATTGGGAATGTCATCGCCGCACCTAAAATCTACACATACCTGTCATTAGATCCGCGAAATGACCGAACGTCTCGCGGAAAATCATGTCCCGATGCTCAGGAAGACCCTCTTCTAACTTTTTCTGCAAATATCTGCAACCGTGCTGATCTTTGCATAACACAGGGATTTCCCCTTGAAGATCCTCCAAGCGAGTACCAGCAAACCTGTTGACTGAAATTGATTTTAGCTTACCATCAAGCAAATAATGAAACTTGCACGCACATTCACGATCTATATCGCCACGCTTGTGCTTCGGGCCATGAAGCCCGTTCATCTTGTTGTCAGCTGCACCACTGTTGCCTCGACTGGGCATTCCCAATCCATAGCGAGTGCCGTTGTGATGATACAAAGCTGTAGAGCCACTGGTACCATTGGCCGGAGTTACCCCATTGGGAGCGATCCGAGCGCTGGGTTCAAATCCATAGTTGTTGTAACGGTTATTCTCGAGTCCTCCATTAAGGGCATACATGGAGTCCACATTATACTACGAAAGGTCAGTGAATTGAGGTGCAAAACCATATCAGTAATCGTACCTCATCTAAACCGTTCCCTTGAATAGAGTTAAAGGTGAGCGAGCTATTCTCATACTGAGACGGAAGCCGAGAGAGCGACGCCTGTAGGTCCCCAGCATTAACAGCACTGTCACCTAGATGAGGGCCTTGGGTAGCTAGACGCGAATTTAACATATGCGTATCGGGAGTGTGAGGCGTCCCGGGTGTCTTGAGATGCACGGCACTACCAGGAACTCCATTTAGGGGTGTCGCTGGAACAGAACGAGCTACAGAAGCCATGTTGTCCAGTAGGCTTGGAGGCGAACTACGCCGCGAAACAGGTCCTGGGCCATGAGAGTGACTCGTCGCTTGTCCGGTGACAGATGCCGCGTTTCCAAGCTGGCCTAGAGGGTGGTCGTCAGAGGGAGCGGAAAGTGTGAGGTTTGGGTTTGTCACAGTCCTCCTATCAGAGCGAGATGCGAGGCCGTCGGGCCCGCGTGGATTACCATTAAATTGAGGCCACTCCGATGACTTTTCTCTAGATTCCAAGGCCCGGAAGTGAGAGCGAGGGGAAGTCTGCGAAATGTGAGCCAGATCCAGCGCGGCGGACGAAGTTGTAATCTTAAAGCCATATTAAGCTCTGCTTGAGTGATACAACATATAATAAGATATTAGGCACCTTATTTGGGTACGGGTTATGGTACTTGTCATCATCGGAAGTTGGAAGATTTCTCATAGCATCTATGAAGTTATGAGCTCGAATACTTAAAACTATAGTGTGACTAACTGTGCATTTCCTGATCCAATTGTTCATCCAATAGATGTCCAGCGTTATAAGTGCTTGCATATAAAGCGCCTTGATCTTCTCCGTATCGTGAACTACTCCTCATTAAAACTGAAGCCGAGCCAGGAGCAGGAGCAGGAGATGCTCTATTTGAGCGTTCTCCTGCTAAGGATAACCCCTGGAGATGCCCAGCCAATTCTTCATCATGACTACTAGCAGATGTACGACGGCTAGCAGGCATACTCTTTGCGCCCGCAGCACGAGAAAAGTTTTGTCCGTTAGCCGAGGGTGTACGCATGTCCGGCGAAAGATTAACGGAGGGCGCATAGGTGACCGATTTCCTTTTATCTGCAGCTGAGCCGACAGCCCTGGACAATGATTCCGCATCAACAGGATGTTGTCCACGACCGCCCCGAGTGCCGACATGAGTCTCGCCATTGAGTATGGCGTTGATGCGTGGGGGGGTTGTCGGAGCAGAAACAGCTAAATGCTGCATCGCCCCATTCCCGTTGGGTGCATTCGGATCATAGGGAATGCTGAGAAGTTCTTGGGCTTGTTGCTGCTCTAACGCACGCATCTGATCCTCGAACATCTTTCGCTGCAGGAGACGCTGACGTTCATGTTCGAGACGTTTGAGCTCAACGCGCTAAGAACTACATCAGTAATGGTGATATTCAAGACACAAAAATGACTCACGGCAGACATGTCGGGCATATTACTTCCTAACCTGGCAGCCTGTATTCCGACGTGCATTAGTCACCTGCGAGGGTAAAGGTAATCAAAATGTAACTAACAGAGTCAGCAAGGTCCAAAAAAGCGGGAGGACTCTGCT